ATTAATAAATAACAGTAATAATGGTAATAACAGCAGCAACAACAATAATAATGAAAATAATAACGACAACGATAATAATAATCGTGACAATGGTGATAACGCTAATATTAATACTAATGCTGCTGATAACTGATTTTCAATAACTGCTGAATCATGACGTTAATGATAATGATAACAATAACAATGATGCTGCTAATGATAGCAATGATGCTTCGGATTGTTCCCTCGATTATCAGTAACATTAATAAATAACAATGACATGTGCAAACACGAATTAACAAATTAAAATTGCAATTCACACGAAATAAAAATGTAAAATTAATCAAATTTATTCAAATCATTGAAATTAAGACGCATCTGAAATAACAAATTAAAGTGAAATCAATAAGAAAATAACGTAGAAACAGAACAGCTGAATCAAATATGAAAAAAGCAAATTGAAAATAAACATATTAAAAACAAAAACAATACAACGAGGGCTGAGGAATACAATACACAATACATCAGCCACACACGCAAGAAGACTCCAGATACTTAACAAGTACTTCTTACACAGAAATATCCCTTCTTTTTAACGTACATCTTACTCCTGCCACGACTTGACAGCAACTGATTCGACCACCCCAAAACAGCTGATTTTGACAGCTTACGTTATTGGAACATGTAAAAAAAATACTAATAAAAAATTACAATGGATTCACGCAGAATGAACCAATGTGCTAAGATGAAGTTACTCATTAGCTAATTATAAGAAACAAATTACCAAAAAGGATACGAAAAGCAAGAACAAAAATAAGGAAGCTCCGTGAGGATTTGCAACGAAAATGGGGGCGGTTGTGTGGGGGAGACTAGGATAAAAGGAAAAATTAAATGCCTTTTAGGAGACATTGCTGTGTTAATAATGATAGTAATAAAATCATGATAACAATAAGGATGATGATGATCATGACGATGATGAAGAGGATAATAACTAATAATAGTAATAACAATTACAATAATACTTATATTATCATTATAATAACATTGATAAAAATTATAATAATAACAGAAGTGGTAATAATAACAGTAACATTAGTAATAGTAATAATAATAATCATCATCATCACCTCCATGATTACAGAACACGGGAGTCAAACTCTAAAACACGCACACAAATATATATATATATATATATATATATATATATATATATATATATATATATATATATATATATATGTATATGTATATATATATATATATATATATATATATATATATATATATATATATATATATATATACATATATATATATATATATATATATATATATATATATATATATATATATATATATATATATATATATATATATATATATATATATATATATATATATATATATAATATATATATATATATATATATATATATATATATATATATAGTATATATATATATATATATATATATATATATATATATATATATATATATATATATATATATATATATATATATATAATATATATACATATATATATATATATATATATATATATATATATATATATATATATATATATATATATATACATATATATATATATATATATATATATATATATATATATATATATATATATATGAATTGGTAGCGGTTTGAGAAAAAGAGTAAGAATGTTATACAAAAACAGCGTCGCAATGTCGCGAGTTTGCAGAAGCCCAATTTCGACTTCTACTCTCGTGTTTGTTAGAATCTCTGAGAAATAATCAAACAATCAGGGTTAAGCGTTTGTTTACTTTAATCCAGTACATTATAATTGGGCCCGATAGCATAACTACAGGTGGTTCTTAATTAATTGAGTTTTAAGTAAAGAATGTAAGGGGTATTTCGTCTATTTTCAATGCTCGCGTGAACCTCATAAATAGCTGATTAAACGCAAACTGATATTAGAGGTCAAAGGATCCGTTTATGAATTTTGGAAAAATATACAAAGGACCGTTGCACGTGCAAAATAACATTTGATTCGCTCTTCTGTCAAACGGACACACAAGACACAAAAAACTCTCACACAAACAGAAACACAAGAACATAATAAAACGCAAATTAAAAATAAAACATAAACAAACATAAAACACGACAAAAACACCAGATACAGAAAAAAACAAACACAGCATAAGCCTCCGCACTGACCTCGACGTGGGCGAGTCCGTGGCGTCGACCGGCTGCGTGTAGATGGACTTGGTTCGCTCCGGCCGCGAGGGGATCGGCGGCGGCGTCGGCTCTCCGTCCTGCCCAGAGGAGATGGGGGGGTTTAGGGCTGGGCTCAGGGGTATTGCTGTGATGTTTTTGTTGTGGTTGTTATCGTCGAATCCATTACTATCACTATCAATTTTTTTCATCATTATTATCATTATCATTATCTTCATCAACATTATCATTGGAAATAGCATTATTTTCATCATTATCATAATTATTATTATAATTATTATTATTATTATTATTATTATTATTATTATTATTATTATTATAATCATTACCATTATTATTATTATTATTATCATTATTATTATTATTTTTATCATCACTATCATTATCATTCATATCCTCATTATCATCATTATAAAGTCTGCCTATGCTTCTTGTATATCCGTACAAAGCACTAACTAAGCAAAGGTAAACCACACAAACTGAGCAAGGAGATAAAGTGTATTTTTTGTATTTCTGAGATAAAAATTAACAAGAAAGATAATATTGGTATTTCTAACGAGATCTACAGGGAAAATTATCATCAACATTGGTACGGGTAGAAGACAGAGCTAAACCTTTGTGATAAGAAAGAGAAATGAGTCAGCAGGTTCAGAACATTTCGAGAAAGACTGATTTTGCGCTTTTTTTTTTTTGTTGCTGAGATGAGGAGAAAATAACTTAGAATAATTACTTTAATGAGTTAGGAAATGAGGCCGAACTAGTATTTAAGTGTTTCTCCTTTTTCATATTCAAGAGAAACATAGAAAATGGGATAGCAGCAGAGAACGATAGAGGAACAGACAGATGATCAGTATTTTGGGAAGAAAATTACCACCTTGACGAACGCAGTTTTGTAAAGAAAATTATAGATTTGAGTTTGAAAATTATATGATTTGTAAAGAAAATCATATATCTGCCGTACAGATTTTGTAATGAAAATTATAGATTTGACTTGACCAGTTTTTGCAAAGAAAATCATATATCTGATGTACAGATTTTGTAAGGAAAATTATAGAATTGATCTACTTGGAATCTTGTTAAGAAAATTATAATTCTGTGCGGTTTGTCAATAAAATTATAGATTTAACGTACCCAGTTATTTATAAAGAAAATGCCCACTGACGCACGCTCTATCTTGTAAAGAAACAAAAACAACAACAAAATCTTCAACCGGATCGAGAGGGACTTACGATGCTCAAGGCCTGTGGGTATTCCCTCGACTCCCTGATGGTGGCGAGGTTTGGGGGCAGCGGCGCGAGGGGCGGCACCACGGGGCGGGCGGGACCTGAAGGGAGCTCGTCGTAGTCACCCTCTGTTGAGGGAAAGAGAAACAAGGCTTAGGTGAAGTGAGACTGTAATGTAGGGTTGTTTCTCTTTCCTTGGGTGGGATCAATTATTGGTTTGGGTGGCTAGGATTTTTTATGATGAATATATTCTTATTTATAATTTTGGGATAATTATTATTTGTTGTTTGTTGTCTGAAGAATGAATTATTGTTAGAAGTCTCAAGAGTATTCCAAAACATAGTCTCATTATTGCAGCTTTTTTTTCTTAATATGCTGACCACTTCCGTAATCATAATAGAAAAAAAAACTCGAAAAGTCTCGGACAATTTTATGGAGGCAACAGCTGATCTCTTTTCCTTAACCCAGACATTACGATTTCCCCTGAAGACTCTTACGTAATATAAACCTTTCCTCCAACATTCCCCCAAATCAGACAAGACCTTCCCCCCATATTTCCCTCAAATAAGAAGAAATTTTCCCTTAACATTTCTCCCAAACAAACAAGATCTTCCCCAGCTTCCTCCCCAAAGAAGACAAGATCTTTCAAATTCAAGAAAAACAAGATCTCCAAAATTTTCGCTAAACAAAACAAGATCTCCCCCCCCCCTAAATAAAACAAGAACTTCCCCCAAACCTTCCCCCAAAGAGGCCAAAATTTCCCTAAACCTTCTCCCCAAATACGAACTCGAAGCAAAGACGAGAACTGACCGTCCTGTGTTATGAACTTGTCAACCTTGGCATGGTTCTTGGGATCCTGGAGGTACCTCAGTGCCTGGTAAACTGCCTCTGGATTCTGTTCCTTCTCCTCCTTCGTGATCTTCGAAGCGTCCAACAGCGCCTTCATGGTGTCGGGGAGGCCCTGCGCACAGACGGGGAAAAAGTATTAGTTCGGTGAAGGTCAGGCAATGGGTGTGTCTGTTTTGCTGGGTTAGATTAGCTGTTCTCTTCGGCTGTGTTTTTGAAAGGTGTTTGGTTCGGTTTACTTTGTTATTTGATGTGTTTTTTTTATCAATGTCGAAGTCAATAGATATTCTTCGTTCATCCAGTTATTCTCATTGTCTAATTGGGATAACCGTTAGGCGATTAACAGGCGAAAGTGTGTGTGTGTGTGTGTGTGTGTATGTGTGAGTGTGTGTGTGTGTATAAATGCTTATGTATATATATGTGTATATATATACATATATATTTATGTGGATTCTTCTTACGTTGACCTTGTTATAAGCGTCCTCGTGTTTTGTTTAGCGAATACAATACTTTAGTTTGATTTCTATGTACTATTTTCACTCTATTCTGTTTATCGCCCCCTTTGTACCATGTGATTCCTATATCAAAGTGTTTGCATTAACCACTGTATGACCTTTTAATCTACAAAATGTACCCTTCGCTGAGTGAGCCTGCGGCCACCTGCTTCTGCATCTGAATTCCTAAAGTTAATAATCCCGTTCGGGCCAGTCGAGGCGAAATTTGATCCCTCGGCTC